GTCGTATTGATTACCGGTACCTTAGTAGTGCAACATTACCTTAAATGACAAAATTCATCGATTTTTGCATAATTTAACCGGATTCAAACGCAGGTTGAGGCAAATACAAGAAAGATTACATCTTGAAATTCATATATAATTCGTGTGACGATGTTAGAAGTATGCTCGATTAATATGGCCTTGATTAAACTATAGGCCGGTAGTGCAACATGAGCTTGAGCGACGAAATTCCGTGATTTTTGTATGATTTAACCGGATTCAAATACAGCTTGAGGCAAAAGGAAAGATAAAATCTTGGCACTCTTACGTAATTATAGTGTGAGTTTGTGTGGGTCACTGATTACTAGCAAGATATCGCATTGTAAAAATTCTCAAAATCAAAATAGCGGATCCAACATAAGGCAAAAATAATATAAGGCTAGCGACAGGCTTTATTACGTTCTCCACAATTTCGTCCATAAGTTTGTCTAGTAAGCGCCCGAGTACTCTGTTCTGCACAGTGGTTTAAAGTTTATTTTGCTATTACTTGCTTATATATCTTTTGTTGCTCTTTATTCGTTCTTGCATCAAACATTGATCTTTACACCTTCTATTGGTCTTATTGATATGTTCGCTACCTGATGTTCTTTATCATCGTATAGCTCATATTTTGTCGGCTTTGGTACTAAAAGTAATCTTTATCGGGTGACTTCTAGCCAACCTATTGGGGTATCACTTGTGTTTCCCATATATGCGAATGGAAAATGCCTGGTCATAGTGTATGTACCGTTTGCGGAAAGCGAAAATTCATAAAAATATACGGATCATGAAAGAAAATTCTGTGATTCTGGCGCGCTTAAAAGCTTCATCGAATCTCGTTATTGAACCCGGATGCCGTGTTTGCACATTATGTTGTATATCTTTTAAATGCACACCGAGTGGAATAGTTACAATAGTAACAATAGCGCGATTGCTGTTGATGGTTGTCAGGTTGCTGGTGACAATGATGAGGCGGTTGGAGATACTGAAGAGGTGGCTCAAAATGATAGCGAGATAGCTGAAAACAACAAGGAGATCAGTGACACCTGTTCCTTTGTAACGATTGGTTTTGGAAGAGCCAAAATATCACATAAAAGCTGTATTGTTTGTAATGCTACGAATAATCTTATGGTAATCCCAACAGAGGCGAAACTGAGTGTCTTCATAACGAGAGGGTTAATTATCAAAGGAAAAGCCAGATGTTGCCAAAAACACCTTAATGGCAGAGTTATGAAAAACGATGCTATTCAAAAGATACCTCAACAAATGGCTGTTACGATGATGAATTCTACGGAAATCTTTGAGTTACTAAACAATATGCGCACGTTAGCTATGAAACGTTCATTAGATTTTGATACTCCCGGGGCTATAATTGATTCGGATTATTATCAATTAACCGGTTTGAATGAAAAACAATTTAACAATCTCGCACAGTATGTGACTGGGTACATTAACAATTCAAAGCAAAGATCTGCTCGCCTAGCCTTAGCACTATTACTCATAAAGCTGCGGACGGGAATGTCTCATTCCTTACTTGGTACAATTTTTGGAATTGCACGACAGACTGTCAGCAGATCAATACATTCTGCAAGATGTGCCGTGATGCATGAATTTGTTCCAAAATATCTCGGTATACAACATATTTCTCGAGAAGATTTTATTGCATTACATACTCGAAACTTGGCAAAAAAATTGTTCGCAAACGGAGAAGATGTGGCCATTCTTGTGGCTGATGGGACTTACATTTATATTGAAAAGAGCAGTAACTATTCTTTTCAAAGACGTACATATTCCATACATAAGGGAAGGCCATTATTAAAGCCAATGATAATAGTCAGTTCAACGGGATATATACTAGATGTTTTTGAGCCTTATTTTGCAGATGGCAAAAATAATGACGCTAATATTCTTAACAGCTTAATGAAAACTACTTCCAGCGCACTTTTGGACTGGTTACATCCAGAAGATGTAATGGTTGTAGATCGTGGATTTCGAGACTCGATAGAGTTATTAGAAGAGTTAGGACTTATACCTAAAATGCCGCATTTTCTATCTAAAGGTGCGCAACATTCTTGTAAAGATGCAAACGAATCACGGCTTGTGACAAAAATACGGTGGGTCGTAGAAGCAATTAATAGATTATTGAAGACTTGGAAAGCTCTTGCTACCGTTTTTCCTAACAGTCAGATACCGTACATCGGAGACTATGTTCGCATTGTATCTGCATTATGCAATGCGTATCGACCTGCTCGTATTGCTGCAGCACATCCAGACAACATAATGGCAGATCGGATGCTGACACTTAACCTCCAACCAAATAATCTTCAACAGAGAATTTTGAAAGAAGAATGGATCAAGAAAAAAGTTATTTGGGAGCCAATGGAAGCAACATCGTTTAAAGATTCTTCATTTCGACATCTTTGATTTCGCTGCGCGATTTCCCTTCCAAAAACAAGAATTGAATCACCGACCGATATTGTTCTTTTTCCATTTTTCTAAAATCCGCGGACACGCCCGCTTCCACACGCGGTCAAAACAAAACTACGAGTCCGATTCGGCTGAAATTTTAACAGTAGCCGTCTACGAGAATGTACTACACGATAGTAAAACTCTCTTGCGATACTGGCATCATCGGGCGATGAGGCTAAATACTTATCGGACTGCCCTCGTATAATATTTTTTTAAATATCGAGGATAAAATGAGCCCCTCCATCGCCCATTCCCGTGAGAATGCTACCACAAAATGTTTTTTTTTTTTCGTCTATCCGATTATAGCAAACAAGACATTTGCATTGAAGCGTCTTTTTGCAACGATATGTATTGGAATAAAACAAATTATTGATTTGATAAATTTTTATTATTTAGGAAAAGGCGACACTTTTTGAATACTAACTTTAGAATCCATTGTATCTGAGAATAATTCCACCGATTTTTGAAAATCGATGGATTCATTGCTAGTATTCTTATATGTGCTATTCCTAGAGCCATTTTCCTCTTGGCCTTCGGTTTTAGTTTTTATGAGTTTCCAATCTTTAAATTGGCACTCTATTTCTTGCATATGATTATTGAATGATCTCTAAAGTTCATTCCACATATGAGAAGAGTCGACAATGCGACGCCCTTGAGCGCATGCTTTCCTGGATACGATTTATATCTAGAGGGCTATTCTTCAGATAACAAAATGATTATCTGCGCAAAGTTCGACATTTTTACTACACGTACCTGTATTTGAATTTGACTCCAGGCATTGCATCGTAGGTACTAACGATTGGATACTAACTTTAATAACCAGAACGCACATGCAAATCGTTCTGGGAGAAGATATTTTTAGAAGCAACTAGCAGACGAATATATCGTTTCTGATATAAAATATCTTTTTTAATAACCCGAACGCACATGCAAATCGTTCTGAGAGAAGATATTTTTAAAAGCAACTAGCAGACGAATATATCGTTTCTGGTATAAAATATCTTTTTTAATAACCAAAACGCACATGCAAATCGTTCTGGGAGAAGATATTTTAGAAACAATTAGCAGGCAAATATATCGTCTCTGATATAAAATATCTTTTTTGTTACTACTGCAACTTTATAACTATTATTACTACTATAATATTTCTATTACTAATAACTATTTAAAATAAGCAAGTGACTGCTTTATTTTTCAGAAATTATTATTTTTCGAAATTATATATATATATGTATATTTATTTATGTAAAAAAATTTATAAAAATTGAACCCCATAAATGTTGAATAAGAATGAGAGAAGTATCATTAGATTCATTAGAATATCGCAAAAAATTTATAGATGGAGAAAATCTTGAAAATTTCAAATCATGTTTATTTTTAGAATGATCTCAAAAATACAAATATAAGTTTCACTGTGGACATCAGTTGCAGGACACCCTATACATACATACATATATACATACATACATTTATATATACATATATACAATATAGATATATACATATGTATCATGTATGTATGTATATACAGGGTGTCCTTCTTTTTTTTTTACATGGTGGAAACCTGCGACAGGTCTCCATGCCCCTTGGGTAAGGAACATAAGGTATGTGGGATTCTTCTCGTCCATACCGGGATGATCTAGATCATCCTGATAAGGCCACGAGAAGGGACCTCACTAAAACCACCATGATGGCCTGGCCCAGGTGGTTAATTGGAAGCCCTCCGGGAACGAGCAATTGCATTACTTCTGGAGGGCCCCCCACCAACCTTTCCCATCGGGGTCCCATTGGACCCCTTGTACCTTTCTGAAGGAGAGAGGCGGCCGTACTCGTGGTGTTCGCGACGCAAGGGGGCCACACCCTCACGTCGCGCCCTCCCTAAAAGTTAGAGGGGCGGGGTCATGGCTCGAGACACTTGCTCGAGCCATGGCCCCCCGCCGCACGATTGAGACTCCTCCCAGCACCCGTGGGTATCTGGGTTCGGCCTTTAATCAAGGGGGCCCGCTCCAGAGGACTGTCCCCTGAAGGGGGCAACCCTCCTCTACGGCAGCGATTTCCTCCGACCGGAAGCCCTTCGGCTTCCGGCAAGGGGACCCCCGCTGCCGCATCTCGTCCCGGAAGGGGAGCACGTGCAATGGATTGCCGAGCGCGTTTGCGCTCGTCTCTCCTGTGCTCCCCTTTGAGATCCCGGATGTAGCTCTCTCCTTTCTCCTGTGAGATTAGGATTCGGCCCTCATCCCGGGATCTCTTGCCGAGACTCTCCCCAAGTGGAGTGCCTCGGCTGGTGATCGAGGGCGCGGGCGTCCACCCCCCCGCCAACGCACTCACATGAGTGCCCGGCGGACGGGCAGGACGCCACGCTCCCGACCTCGCTCCTTCTCGTCCTTGTTTGTGAAGAGTCACGTGCAATGGGAGATAAAATCCTCCCTGTGACCCTTTCTCCCTTCCAATTTTTTTTCCTCAGCTTCCTCCCAGACATATCGGAGAAGAGGGACCAAGTCCCCCCTTTAATGTTAATCGTCGTCAACAACTAGGTGACGGGGTGGCCTCCTTCCTCTTTTTCTTCTTGGCTCTCCCCCGCTACCCATTGCCGCATCCCTTTTCCTCTCTCTCTCTCTTTCCGTCGTCTCCTTCTGCAACATTACTCTGTCGTAGAAGGAGACCATCGCCTTCCAATTTTCCTCGCTCTCCAGCATCTTTTGGACGATGCCGGAGAGCGACAGATCGTTCCCTATTTTTTCCATAAGAACACGGCGCTTTTCCTCCCACGCTGGACAATGTTCCAGCGTGTGTTGCGCCGTGTCCCTGTCGTCCTCGCAATGATTACACTGTATGGTGCGCTCTCTCCCGATACGACACAGGTATTCCCCGAAACACCCATGTCCGGAGAACACCTGCGTCATGTGAAATGACATCCTGCTGCCACGCGGCCTGTCCATCCATTCCTCAATTACAAGCCTTATGGCCCCGACAACCCTATCTTCCGATCTTGTGGAAAAAATGTGGTTCAATGCCTCCCCCCACTCAACAATCATTTGTTGTCGGGCTTGTAGTCTGACGATCCCCCGGACCCGGTCGGTTATGACTGTTTCTAGCCCACGGAGCTCCTTTATGCGCTCGTACGCTCTTTTATGCGCCCGAGCTACGAGATCCATGGGCGGCAGACCCACCAGGACCGAGGCGGCTGCATGCGCCACGGTTCTATACCCGCGGACGACGCGTATGGCCACCCTTCTTTGTACTCTCTTGAGTACATCCTTGATGTGTCGAGTGGCCACCGCCTCGTCCGCCCAAACTGGTGCCCCGTATAGGCCCACCGAATTTACCACTCCCGCATACAGTCGTCTAACTCGATCGTCCGGCCCACCCTGGTTGGGCATTAGGCGACTAAGTGCCGCCGCAACCCGGTCTATCTTTTCCGCCAGACGATCAAGATGATCGCCAAATCTTTAAGAGCCGTCCAGCCAGAATCCTAGATACTTAATATTGGGCCCCAGCTGGACTGGGATGTCATCCACCATGATCTGGTCTCTCGGCGGCCTTCCCCGATGGTCATCGTAAAAATAGATGGCCTCCGTCTTATGGGGAGCCACCTTGAGACCCAGACCCTTGATTGAACGCACCACACACGCAGTTGCAAGTTCCACCTGTCTTTAAGCGTCCCCACAGTCATCCCCCCCGGCCAGCACTATCGTGTCGTCCGCATAGCAAACGACGTTTGCGCCGGGGGGGAAGGGCAGAACGGATTACACAGGACATTCTTTCATACATGCACACGTATATAATAATTTTTTTTAAATAATCTACATTGCCAAAATATAAATAATTAAATTTATAATCTAAAAATATATAAAAATCTTTTATTAATATAATTGATTATAAAGTTTTAGTGTATAATTTTTTGTAATAAATAAATGATTTTGTGACGACCCGATTAGCCGTCACTAGTCGCCCGCGCTCATGTAAACGGCCCCTTTCGGGGCCACCACACGAACACGTTGGGAATCCGCCTTTCGCCCCCACCCGTCACTCGGCCCCCTCCAAGCTAGTCTTAGAGTGGGGTGGCCGACGGGTATAAAGAGCGGCGCAGCCGAGACTTCACCACCAGTCCCGTCCTGGTCCCTCGAGCGTACTCAGGGATCACTCCTCAACTCCCACACTCCAAATCACCCCGGCCGACGAGCGTTCTCGTCGTGCAGGCCGAGCGTCCTCGGTCACCGGGTCCTGTCCGTAAATCACCCCGGCCGACGAGCGTTCTCGTCGTGCAGGCCGAGCGTCCTCGGTCACCGGGTCCTGTCCGTAAATCACCCCGGCCGACGAGCGTTCTCATCGTGCAGGCCGAGCGTCCTCGGTCACCGGGTCCTGTCCGTAAATCACCCCGGCCGACGAGCGTTCTCGTCGTGCAGGCCGAGCGTCCTCGGTCACCGGGTCCTGTCCGTAAATCACCCCGGCCGACGAGCGTTCTCGTCGTGCAGGCCGAGCGTCCTCGGTCACCGGGTCCTGTCCGGAAATCACTCTGGCCGACGAGCGTTCTCGTCGTGCAGGCCGAGCGTCCTTGGTCACCGGGTCCTGTCCGTAAATCACCCCGGCCGACGAGCGTTCTCGTCGTGCAGGCCGAGCGTCCTCGGTCACTGGGTCCTACCTGAAAGTCACCGGCGCTTGACGGAGCTCGCCCTTCTCAGGGCGCCCGTACGCGTGTCCGCGTTGGAAACTTTAGCAATAAGTCGTGTCCGCGTCCGTATAATCTGGTCGCGTCTCGTCCGTAATATTTCTATCTGTCAATCCTAGCAATAAGTCGTGTCCGCGTCCGTATCATCTGGTCGCGTTTCGTCCGATTATACTGTGCTGTGTATAATGGTTTGAATCACGGGAGAACCACAGGAAGGTGGCCCCGAATAAACTCTACTTTTACCAGAGCAACCGTGTGTCATTGTAAATCTGAGTCTCCCCTCTTCCCGAATCCTGGCACCGGCGAGCCGATCCGTGGCGTCGGGAAAGGTGCTTCGTTACAATTTATATAATTTATTCTCATCTAACTACTGCTCTGTTTTAATAATAATAGAGTTATTATCTATTCAATCTCAAAAATACTCTTCAATCTCTAAATTTAAAATTTTATATAAATTATTTATTTATTACAAAGAATTACTTACTTTATAATCAACAACAAAAATTGTTACACCCTAACAACAACAAAAATTGTTACACCCTAATCTACATACATACATATATATATATATATATACAGGGTGGGCCATTTAAAAAAATACGATCAATTTTCTCGTAAACTAAGCGAAATATCGAAAAATGGTTCAGACATGTGTTGTATGGTTTCGAAGGGGCTATAAGATGGTGCCATTGGTTTGACATTGGATATTTATTTGAAGATTACGCGAAGGTCACCTCAATTTTTTTAAATGGCACCCCCTATTTTTATTACATATTCTTGTAGCTGACCTCGAGAGCTTTCCAAAACACTATAGTCAAATGTTTTTCCATTGCGTACTTTTCGAGTTATAAAGATCGAAAGTTACTACATTTTGATAAGAATACAAAATATATTTCTTAAAATATTCATTTTCCGATAGTCTCATTTTACATACTCCGACCAATCAGGGCAAAGTCCAAGCATGATTCAGCTAGTCAAGACAAAATCCTGACTGGCTGGATCGTGTCCGGATCTTACCTTGACTGGCTGGATCTGTGTTCCTATCTTGCCTTGACTGGCTGGATCGTGTCCAGATCTTGCCTTTACTGGATGGATCGTTTCCAGATCTTGCTTTGACTGGCTGGATCCGTATTCGTATCTTGCCTTGACTGGCTGGATCGTGTTCGTATCTTGCCTTTACTGGATGGATCGTGTCCAGATCTTGCCTTGACTGATTGGATTCGTGTTCGTATCTTGCCTTGACTGGCTGGATCGTGTCCAGATCTTGCTTTGACTGGCTGGATCGTGTCCGGATCTTGTCTTGACTAGCTGGATAATGCTTGGACTTTGCCCTGATTGGTCGGATGAATATTTTAAGAAATATATTTTCTTATCAAAATGTAGTAACTTTCGAGCTTTATAACTCGAAAAGTACGCAATGGAAAAACATTTGACTATAGTGTTTTGGAAAGCTCTCGAGGTCAGCTACAAGAATATGTAATAGAAAATAGGGAGTGCCATTTAAAGAAATTGAGGTGACCTTCGCGTGATCTTCAAATGAATATCCAAGGTCAAACCAATGGCACCATCTTATAACCTTTTCGAAACATATACAACACATGTCTGAACCATTTTTCGATATATCGCTTAGTTTACGAGAAAATTGATCGTATTTTTTAAAATGGCCCACCCTGTATACGTGTGCATGTATGAAAGAATGCAATGTAGAAAAGAGAGAAGAGACAGAGAGACAGATAGATCGATAGGTAGATCGATAGATAATTCGATAAATAGACAAGCAGATAGCTAAATAAATCAATAGGTATATATATATATATATATATATATATATATATGTCTTTATAAACATTTTCGACGCATACATACGCATACATACATACATGCATGCATATAAAGAAATATACTTACCTTTTCATCCAGCCTTTCTTGAAGAAAACTGTATGTTGACAAAGAGGTAGACGTTTTGCGTTATATTATTCTACGTATGAGAGAGACAAAGATAATATGACTGTCTGTCATTGTCTAACTGCACGATTGCAGCTCCATCTATCGCGCAACTAATTTTTTGTATTATTTCTAAATGTCATTTCGCACATACACATGTGAATGAAATATTCCACAATCGAGATCTTTTTTATTAGACTTCTAAACTTATTTCTGCAAGGTCACTAATATTCCTTTATGCAATCTTTTAGAGGAAGCGGTCTTATTGTGTACGTATAAATTGTGAAATTTTTATACAAGCAAATATTGTTATGACGTGACACAAAAAGCCAAAAAAAACTCGTATTTAAAAATTTTTTGTCTTTTTATCACAAATTCAGACCGCTCCCTCCTTTATTATTGTTTTAACTTTAATCGTGGAAAAGCATTTGTGATTCTATTAACGCAATAAAAACTTCTCGATAATGTCAAAATATAATCGGTTCGGTCGGTAAAAGTAGATCTCCGGCATGAACATCATGTAATGAACATCAGATACATCGTGGACTTGAAGATATGTATACATGTAATAGAATTTGGGGTGAAACTAGTAAAAATTGTTGGCCATTTGAATCAACACCATCACCATCGCCATCACCACCACCATTACTGTCATTATCGCCAATTGTAGATTACTCGTTGCCACCTATTTATTTGGATGAATAAGAAAAATGCGGAACATATGCAAAGAATATATCAACGGTTCTGAGAAACGTTGTATCATACTTGTAAGAGACATGTCTTCGCGGGAGGTGTAAACATAACGATGGTCAGCTACTGAGCAACCGCTATTTTTGTTTCGACGAAGATCATCTTTCTGAGATAATTGCAATTACATGAAGAACAAAGGGCTGAATAGAATATATAATAAAGACCTATGCGCTCTCAAATCATAATACGGTGACCGCGAGAGCACACGCTTTCCTCAAGGAAAATTCGGTCTGCAAAAGTTTAGTAGCTATACGTTAACGAAAGTGCGGAAGTAAAAACATTGATTCATTTCATGTTCTGAAATTGTGTGTCACATTGTGGAAATGTGTCCCATACCAGTGGATGAAGACATTGTGATCGACGTCTCTGATGACGTCGCTGATGACGAGATGGAAGTGGAGGTCATCACGATCTCTGATAACGAGGAAGAAAAGACGACGACAAATATGACATGTACGACCCTGTGTACGACAGGGAGGTGAATATCGTCCTGGATATAGGATAAATAGAAATCGTGCCGGACATTATCCGGACAAGAAGAAGAAGAACATCAGCAAATAGTAAACGATGGCTACAAAAGTGATCGCGTGATCGAGTCGTCTCGCGAGATGACATTGGAAAATCGAACCATCGTATCCCTCGATGAGAACACGAGGGTGTGCGTAATGTATTCGTACGTCGCACCGTGGGGATCAATAAAAATATGCATTCCCTGTTTCATGAGAAACAGGAATAGATTTGCAAACATTGCCATCAACCAGAGGCACGAGACAATGCGGTACAGGGATATGCCGCATCACCATTGCATTGACTGCCAGGAAAGATTGTTCACAATCTTCCTGGGCAACATGTGTCCGGCATGTCATGGATGTAAGTTGTTGTGTGCCTCGTGAAAGGCACAAAGGGCAAATTGGGATGAGGATCCGGGGCGTCAGGACTTATTTCGGGTTGATGAAATAAACGCACTTCACTTTTATTATTAAAACTTTTATTCAAGTAAACCGCTTAACTTTTATTTGTTTCACCACTGTTACACTTGTGCGTATATTAGTTTAACGGCACTGTTTAACTATAACTTCGCGTATCGCGCGCGACTGCAAGAAGATGTTAAGATCGCACGCGGCTAGCGAGGTCGTTTTAATTAACGACGCGAGAGTGTCTTGAGAGCTGATTGCGACTGCGACTGAGCGATTCGGCGCGTCTCTGTTCCCTTTTTGGAATTTCCTTGATCGGAAGGGATGCCTAGCAATGGGCCCCCTCGGTCAAGGACCTAGGTGCAAGCGAAGCAGATTCAAAGTCCTTCTGCTTTGCTTGCACGTTGAGCAATTTCGGTTCCGCGTATATCTCGCAGCGTATGCGTTTTTACGCGGTCAGTGTCCGTCGTCAAGCGGATGTAACACAAGTAGCTATTTCTTAAGGGGGGGTATGCTAATTTCGATGGAAAAAAGGCATGTTTTTACGATTTTTTTTTGGCGAAACAGATAATGTTACTTTATTTATTCAATTTCCATGTAATAATACAACATTTGAAGAGTAATTTGCTAAATTTTCATCGAAAAATATCGAAAAATACGCCAGTGACAACGAATTTCCGGAGGCGCTCCTAAAAAAGTGGTTTGGCGGTGATCATCATAACTCGTAGTAGAATTATCTGAAACCAAAAAATAAAAATGCATTCGTTAAAGGAGATGTTTTTCGAGGTAACGCTGGGAGAAATTTTTTTATTTTTTATTTTTTAATTTTTAGTAGCACTTTGAAGCCAAAATTCTGATTTTTGGTGCAAAAAATCGAGTTATTTGTTTTTGTAAAATTAACAATTTTTAACAAATCAAAAAAAGCTCCCAGGAATACCTGGTAAATGTTGTTAAGAAGCAGTGTGCCAAATTTCAGAACAATTGATCGAGTAGATTTTGAGTTATCGTGATCACGGACTTCAAAAATGGCAAGTTTGAGAAAAACGCTTTAAACTTTTGCACACTAAAAATTTCGAAATAAAAGTCGATAGTTCTTTTATACTCACACAGAATCATCGATACCAGGTCCATACAGCAAGGCGCTTTCATCCAGAAGATCCAGAGCATCTTTTTGTGTTTGTCTCCGCGAAACTCTCTCTTCTTTACTGTCGTAGGCCGCTTTCTCGTCTCCTCTAGTAATTCGCAAATTTTCCGGTTAAATCGTCAACTTGTCGCGCCCATTCGTGAGAACTAGGGCCTGTACCGATGTGCATCTCTTTCATGAAGGCCAACAGGGCAATAGAACCTTCATTAAAAGTACAAGCAGCTACATTAGCTGCAATTTGTACGGTTGTAGAGGTTCCACTGTATGCCTTTGGAGAGATTTTCCATATTAGCTGATTGAGGCTTTCGTTATTGTTTTGTGTAAAACCTCCAAGACATCGCTGCAACAGTGCGTCCTTGCTCAAGTCCTTATAAATGGGCTTCATGGCTTCCAGAACTTTAGAAGGAAGGGCTGCGTAGCTGTGTTTGAATGATTTTAGAGCATCTGCAGCTGCAGCTTTTTGCCACTCGCACCAGGAATCTTCGCCGCTCGGGCATTTCTCGTGCTGTGGGTTTTTGTCGTTTGAACTGTAGTGGTAGTATGTCGCCCATATATCATTTTTCATCTTCTGAACTGAATCGGAATTGCGTCGAATGGCCAATCCGTAGTAAACAGTTAATTTGTCTATCATTTTGCCTGTTAATTGTCCTTTTCCAGACAGGATTTTTTTTTATGGTTTTTCCGGTTTTGGTCGTTGTAACAACTACTGTCTTGTTTACCAGATCACGCAGACGCGTTCCCATGCGTTTCTGCACATGTCCTACGCATTCCTTTTTATTTATTACAAAATCTTCACCATAAGGGTTTGCGTCAATAACACCGCTGTACGTCTTCGAATCGCCATCTCCAATGTAATTACAATATTTCACCCCAAGAGTTTCCAAAGATCGTTGGAACATTTCTACGATTGCTGTTACCTCCATGTTTCCAGACGGTCCGACGTGGTTGGCTTTGCATTCTCCGCTACTAACATGTTCTTTGTGCCACTCTTCATATTCAGCAGTACTGGATTTATTTTCCCAAGTTTTACATCGTTGGCAGAAACTGCTTTTTACTAAAATGTCAAATACTTTGCCAGTATGAAATCCAATGAGAAGCAACGCCAAATAACGAAGCAAACCCTCTTTTCTTCCATGTGCCGTTGCCTGATACAGTAACTTCTGTTGTTTCTTCTAAATTATGCGTTTTACACATTTCTTTTTTTTCTTCTTCTACGGCCGATGCAAAAAACTTCTTGGCAACATTTGTTGTATATTCACACATTTCATCTACATACTTATTATATACTCTTTTCGTTAAAAAAGCACTAGCCAAGTCCATTAGTCCACACAATTTATTGCACCCGGCTAAGCCTAAGCCTAATACTCGCATTGCAAAAGCGAATCTTAAATTGACATCGTATTTTCCAGAATCTATTCTTGTAGAAGATGGAATATAATGAGGCGATGCACAGCTTTTGCATGTCATTTTGATATTAAAACCGAGTCCTTCTTTTTTGCATGATGTGAAATTGACTTCTCCATCACACTTTTTACATTTCACTATAGTAGAGATTGTTGAAAAAACCAAAACAAAATCTACTATCCTATAATGTTTTTGGAGATCTTCTTCTATTTCAATAGCGGGACGATTTTTAATTTTTTTCGACGACGAGCTGCCAGCTGTTACTTCATCGTTTTTACGCTTTTGTGGCGGTATTATTTTTTTTACTCGGTTCAAATACTTTTTACCGTATTTACGATCATCTCTAGTCACTTTTCGAGGCATTTTTAATAATAATAAATACACTCAGTAACAGTTCAAACACAAACACAGTTCAAAATGCCCGAAAATTCAACGAACTCGAACGATAACAGTCAAATTTTTCGACTCACTTTCTACCGTTCAACACGACATAAAGCGAGCAACTGATGTATATACCATGTTTTCAATGCACACAAGGCTGCCTAAAAAGACGCTTTCAGCAATAAAGGAATTTAGGGGTTAGGAATAAATACAATAGCGTGCCACGTCAGCGCGCCGCACACCGGTCGAGGAGGTAGAGAAATACGGCTCGGAGCAACGGTCCTTTAAACGTTCATAACTTCTTTACTTTTGCTCCGATCGACTTGAAATTTTGACTGAATATTCTTGAGATGTTGCGCATTCATTTAAAAAAATTTTTAAAAAATCCCCAAAAAATATTTTAAATAGCATACCCCCCCCCCCTTAATAGTTATATCTTTGAGAGATATAACAAAGTATATATATATATATATATAACAAATAATACAATGTTAAAAAATACAATAAAATATTAAATTATTATATTTCTGTGTGCAAGTGCGGACAACGATGATTGATGCGGCCCTCTCTCTCGTCGCTGAATCCAGGCGTGGATCCCGAGCCGCTACCTTGAACCGCCGGCTCTCTCTCACCGCTGAATCCAGGCGTGGATCTCGAGCTGCCGGCTCTCTTGCCGCTACCTCGAGCCGCTGAATCCAGGCGTGGATTCTGAGCCGCCAATGCGACCCATCACCGCTGCCGTCACTGTGGCCCACCACCGCTGCCGTCACTGTGGCCCACCACCGCCGCCGTCGTCGGGAAACATATTTTTATACTTATATATATATATATATATCTTTTATATTATTTTTATTTTTGTATTTGTTACATAATTATAATTTTTATATCTTTATATTTTTATACATTGTAAATTTTATTTTATATATCTTTTATATTTTTTATATTTATTATATAGTATAATTATAATTTTTATATCTTTTATATTTTTATACATTTTTAAATTTTATTTTATATACCTTTTATACATTTTATATTTTTTATTATAAATTTTATAAATTTTATAAATTTTATAAGATAATTACACACACACACACACACACACAAGAGGTGTAAATCCGACCGGCAATCTCCACGTGATACACCTCAGGTAACGCTAATGCCGGCGGTATTGAAAAAATAAAACATATTTTATTATAAAAATTTATTATAAATAAACCTTTTCCCATCCCTTCCCTGCAACCAAAAAAATAATCTCTCTTTCGCGCCTCTCTCTCCTTCGCGTCTCTCTCTTTCTCTCCTTCGCGCCTCTCTCGCAGCCGCCGGATCCAAGCATGGATGCGGCCCGTCGGCTCTCTCTCTCCTTCGAACCTTTCTCTTTCGCGTCTCTCTCTCCTTCACGCCGTATCTCTCGCCGCTACTTGACGCAGCGTTTTCTCACGCTGCGTCTTATTTCGCAGTCTCTCTCACTCTCACGCTGCGTCTTATTTCGCCGTCTCTCTCACTCTCACGCTGCGTCTTCTCTCGAACGCGTATGTCTTTCTCTCTCTCGCGCTGCGCGGTGCCCGTCTTCTTTCTCTCTCGCGCTACGGGCCTTCTCTCTTCCACTGCAGTAAAATCCAGGCATGGATCTCGATGCGGCCCGTCATCTAGATATCTCTGTCTTTTAATGAGACAGTCGCGTGCGCCTCGCAATACAATTATCGATTTTCTCTCGTCGCGTCTTATCTCTAATCTCGTAAGATAAAATATCGATTTTTTCTCGCAGCCGCTGCTGCGGCTTGTCCTTGACACAATAATTATCTCTCGCAAAGTATGTAACGGGTGGCGCGCAAATAAAGTATACCGATATATAGACATATAACTATATTAATTTTTTTATATTTATTACATAAAATATATAATTTCTTCGTACATATTACAAACTAAAGACTAAAGCCACCAGCTCGCAATCGACGAGCTTGATGCTTGTTGAAGGCATCGCTAGCGCGTATCGCATTCGGCAATTCTTTAGCATCCGTTACAGTGGATGCAATATTGAAGAATTGCGTAAACTTGATGTCTACTGTTACAATGAATCTTGGCAATCGATCAAACATTATTTCGATGCATGAATCAAGCTCAAACATCGACGTAACGTCGATTCGATCATCATCATGCGTACATCTGCAGATTCGAGACTTATGAGTTTGGTGTCGTTTATCTTGTGAAATCGCACTGTTAGCGGCTCGACACTTATGCAATTATACACATCGTTGTTGAGGGAGTCATTGTTCGGATAATTTTGAATAGCGTGACGTTGCTCGTAGAGTCCTTTCCACGTTTCGAGAGATAGTATTAGCTGTTTTCCCCGATAATCTCCTATGGCGATCTCCACGTAACTCGGCGAAACCACTCTGATGCCAACTTTGAGGAATTTGAATTCCGTGGTTGTCAATGCGTATCGTCTTCCTAGTATACGAGCCGCACAAGGTTCCAATGAAACGCTGTAAAAATTAGATAAAAATTATAACTCGTACAAAAATATAAAATATAATAAAAATTATAAAATAAAAAAATATAAAAATATAAAATATCAAAATACAAAATATAAAAAGTTACACTTACTCGTCAACTTTCTTTTCGCACGTTTCATTACGTCTCGGCATGTAGTAATTCATGCTGCTGCTTCTTTCGGTGCAGAATATTTTAATATAAAAAAGTGAACCACCCGCCAGAACCATCGACGAAAGACTGATCGTATAAAGGTACTAATAATCGAGTAACGCTAATTTTTAAAATATTGGGAGAAAGGGTAAAACGAATTCCTAGAAATATATATCTGGTGAGAAGGGGAGGAAAAGAACAAAAAGAAATGTTCAAAAATACTAGGAGAAGAGATAAAAAGAATTCTAAGAAATACGATCGCGTGAGAAATTTTTAAAAATAGTGGGGGGTAAAACGAATTCTTAGAAATATACATATCTGGTGAAGAAGGAAGGGAGAGAGAGAAATAACAAAGAAAATAGTATGTAAACAATATGTTTATTCAAAAAATAAATGATCGTCGCAATTGGCCGACCACCAATTAAATAATTTAAATATATTTTGTAACGCGCAATTTTTTACATGTTTAACACAACGTAGAGTATATGCGGGGTCTAACTTATTTAATGCAGATACATCTTCATATATGGCATCCAAGGTCTCAATGTGAAACCGCTTCTCACACGATCCTCGTCCATTATTTCGGCCAGCCATTCTCGCTTTTCGAGTTCTTTTAAATACGCGAGAGAAAACTCCTCTTCTTCGTCCTTATGTACATGTTCATTTACACCAACGATAGCTGCTGTAATCAGGCTCTGAGCCATGCTGTATGGGACGTTTCCATCCTCCCCTTATAAGCCGTGATGATGCTGAGTTAACCACGAGACCTGACGCCTTTCCGATTTTATGAGCACGCTCTATGGCACAGGGCAAAGAAATAGTGTGACAGGATATATCCTTTTCTCAGGATTGCCGCTTCCTTGACAATAAATCGTTTTTTAGGACCTTGCAGGTCGACAAACGTTGGTGCAAACATGATCTCTTCGATGTGAGTAAGTCGAGAGGTAGGACGATACTCTTCTGACATCTCACATCATCTTGATTATGTATCCTGTTTCCCCTGTCTCACAATCGTATTTGTGTAAACATTTTTAAGTAATTTTGCGCACAACGTTGGTCAACGGGTTATACTGGATCACGTGATCGTGCATGATGAGACAATATGCTGTGGTATTGTTAGGCATATTCCCCTTACAATCAAACTCCAATCTCACATCCACCGTTGCGCTCTTGACAGATTCGTTTTGTCGAGGACAATCGATAAATATAAACGGACCGGAACATAGAAACGACGTGACGGTGAGACTCGGGTCGAGATACTCGTATCCGTAATAATTTTTGCAGAAACGCGCATACGTGTCGTACAGAATTGACCATCTGTTTCTCTCAAAATTCAGATTCATATCGTCGTACGGATAACATTCCGACTTCAGAAAGAGTTTCACGTTGATTAATTTACAGTCGTCGAATCAGCTCGTATCCTCGGACATTTTTCCGCCCTGTCTGCAGAACAAAATTACGTATCGCAATTTATCCAGTTAAGTCGCGGTCTTAATGGCCCATAAATGCTTAGTCGTGCGCTGCAACAGCGGAAACTCGTATAGATCCCACGAGCGGAAACCCATGCTGAGGTAACGTCCGGTTTCCAGAGCGCGCAGCATCGACAGCTTCTTAATCTCACTCAACAACACGTGTGGCATTCGCCATTGTATCTTGAATATGTTGAGCACAAGCTCCAGTGTAGAATTTCCATACAGACAATTATCGTTGCGCGCTCGTATTAAGATTAACTCATGACGCGTATTAATCACCACGCGTCTGTAATCCTCGCAAAATCCCAGCAACATGTTGAGCAATACACAAAAATTAAACCACAATCTATACTTCATTCCTCTCGACCAATAGAACCGAACGCGATGTTATTGCGACAATTAAGAAAGAAAGAAAATTTGGAAACTAAGGAATTTGAATCCTATGGTTGGGATCTCAGAAATTCCCCTTGTTCCTTCTCTTAACATCCCCTGTAAAGAAATAGGCGAGAAAAATATTGGTCCGAAAGTCGGCTGAATCGGGAATCGAACCCGAGACCTTCCGCTTGCCGGGCGACTGCTCTTCCAACTGAGCTATTCAGACACTTACAAATCAATATTTCTCTCAATGTTTATTCCCCCCCAACAAAATTAAAGTATCCATTCGCAGTAGTTGGAAAAACCGGCATTTCGCATAATCACACTTCTATCAGATGACATTGTTACATAGTTTTTCAGCAGACTTGTTATTCCTATATTTCTGTTACGATCAATCTCCACACCGTCGAGTTCGTAGCGGATCTCGTCAAACATGAATGCGACGCAATTATTTCCCAGCACCACGTCGAATCCCTCAATTGGATGATTTATTCTCAGTTCTCCCTCGATGTAGAAAAAACTCTCATACGGCAACGTATACAAGTCCTGTTGTTGTATGGGTATTCTTATCTCATCGCTGTATCCAAATGTTGTGTTGGCAAACGGGTTGTATGTGTGAGTCTCAATCTTGACGATGCAATCGTCGAAGACTGGCTCTTCCTCGATGTTGAGAATCTCAGTCATTGTTCAGGTCGTAACATGCACCGCAAATCCCAAAAATTGTAAAAATGCAACGTTTGACGAAGTGAGTTTCTTTGTGGTTGATTTATTATTAGGTGCAAATGTTGCTGCTGGCCTGTTGTCCTTCCTCGTGTATTTATTCAACACGAGCATTCCGTCGCACAAAGTGTTATTGCTGCCGCCGCTGCGGCC